TATATATATATATATATATATATATATATATATATATAGTACTTTAATCTTAATTATTAATAATTGTTTCATAAAACAAGTTTAATTATTTAATAAAATAAATTAATAATTTTATTAATTTTATTAACTTTAATCCACTGAACCAGGGTAGTGACATTATATAATTTTATGGTTTCAATGTTTTTTGTTTCTGTTATGGCTCCAGTTAAATGATTATTATATACATTGATTGAGTGTCATTGTGTTAAATAAGTTCAGCTGCAGCAGTAAAGTTTTTTTGATTTTTTTATTTCACTTAATCCACCAGACTGTGGTTTCATTATGTTACTCGGTTATGCTTTGGGTGACGCTGAAGCAGGACATTAATAGGACAGAACAGAAAGCCTTTATTGTCGTTGTACAGGGAGGAAATACAGTAAATAGACATAAATATATAAAATGTACATATACAGGGGAGGGGGAAAGCCCCCCCAGTCATCAGGATTACATTTAGTTACATTTTAGTCAGAGAAAACCTTATTTTTGTCAAACATACAAAAAAAGATTAAAGGTTAAAAAGCAGAGATTTTACCCTTTTGCCAGGAAAACCAGCAACACGTCACAGCGACACTGAGGATTTTTCATAAACACCAAACGCTGGATAGAGGGGCTCAGTGAATGAGGAGGTGAATCTGTGCAGGAGGGTCAGTCCATCAGAGGAGACTCTGTAGAAGGACAGAGCACCAGCCCCCCAGTCCAGATACACTCCTACTCTGCGGGAGCCTCTGGGCCGTATGGGTATCAGAGTCCGTTTCTTATTGCACAGGATAGAGTATCTGTCAGGATAACAGGATAGACTCCATGACTTGTCATTGTTTCCAAGCCAACAGTCCCTCCCATCTTTCCTCCTGATCCCTTTATAAGTCACTCCCATCCAGGCATCATCTCCATCCCACTCAGCCTCCCAGTAACAGCGGCCAGTCAGACTCTGTCTGCATAGAACTTGGGGCCAGTCAAATCTCTCTGGATGATCAGGATATGGCTGCTTTGCCCCCCATGTCACCTTCCTGTTCCCCCCTGACAGAGACAGGAGTCTGTTTGCTGTGTTGAGGTCCAGTGTCAGCTGGCAGGAGTCTGTAGGCAGGAGGAAGAATTATTAATACCATCAGGCAGCCTGTACTTATGTTTCTGTATAAAAACAGCACAGCTTCCCCGAACGAAACAGGAATTGATGTTTATGAAATAGCTCAGGAAATGTCGGACGGCGCACGACGCCGGCGGGAAGATGCTGCGTGAGCTAAACTAGCAGCTTAATTACGGGTAAATAAAATTACAAAGCAGCGACATTCATCAGACATATTCATCACAAGCATATTTACCACAAAACGGCACCAGATATTAATACTAAAGTTAGTGTCTTTCCTTCTAACCTCTATAGCCGGCGCATGCGGAGCCTTGCTGCTCTGTCTTTCTACAGGGAGTTTACCTTTGAAAATGGCCATCAATAAAAGAATATTTAAGTAATAGTATTAAATAAAGTGATATTTATTAAAGGTTTGGACCTGGGATCTGATACAAACGCCTCCGAAGGTGCTTCCGGCGCTGGAGTTGCACTACAATAGGATCCAGTATTTGCAGCGATTGTCTGACATGGTCTTTAGTCACAGCAAAGCCGGTCTGAATGCATTTCACATGCATTGGCTTATTTCCATGAAGTATGTCATACTGTATCTACTCATAGTGTCAAGCAGGACGGAATAGGTGCCGCGCAAAGTCGGCAAACTAATGATAATACCGTCTACAAACCATCAACAAAAGCAGATTAAACTACACAGATCGTGCATCATGAAAAACAGAAAGGTTATGTCATTAATTGGGAAAAACAAAACTTTTTTCAGATGAATGCAATAGGCTTCCGTAGAGAACTGCTTGACTCTAGATGCAGCCCCGCCTCCGCGAGGCGTGAGCCCCGCATCTCGTGCAGGCACGTGGCCGCGCTAATTTGTTAACATGGGCGCCAAAATGGAATTCGATATTTTTCGCCGCACATCCGGTGTGTCCTGGGAGCCAAGTTTCTTTTAGCACCGTGGTTCGGGAAATCTTATTAATATTCATGAGCGAAGCCCTACATGATTGGCTGGCTCATTAATATTTATGAGCGTTGCACTACCTGATTGGCCAGTGAACATCGATATGCGCTGCCAGCTTTTTCTACCTAAGGCAGGAGTGCCCAAATCCAGTCCTGGAAGGCTAGAGCCCAGTGTAGCTTAGTTCTTTCCCTGTTCCACCATAAATGATTCAGCTTAAGAGCTGTGTGGTAATTAGCACAAGCAGGTGAATCAGGTGTGTTAAATGAGGGGAAACCCAATAATGTGCAGGGCTCTGGCCCTCCAGGACAGGATTTGGGCACCCCTGGTTTAACGCATTCAGTGGCCAATCAGACATATTCTCTCATGATTATTAAGGAGTGTTCCAGAACCACCCTGTAAAAATGCAAATTCACATTTTGTACTTGAGGAGAGAGTCCAAGTATTTTTAAAAACTATTAAATAAATTAGTGTTTTAGGTGAAGATTTTGATGTTTTGTTTTTCTCATTTGGATGTTGTCTAAAATGACACACAGAAACTCACCTAAACACAAACATGGAAATCCATCTACATACAGTGCAAAAAGCCACACTCATCACAACAATTATGTGATTACAACCATAACATAGTATTAATGGCATTATTAATAAAAACATGCAAAAGCACTTACATTTCTGTAAGCCTGGTCTGGTCCTGCACTCTCCACAGTGGTCCACACTACAGGAGAAGCAGAATGACATAGTACTGCTGCATCCATTTATTTATTGGTGCCTTTTCTTCACATACATGCATAAGTATCTGTATCGTGTCAGACACACACTCTGTA